AAAGGGCAAGGTAGGGAAACCCGTAAACAATGCTTTAATATATGGTTTGTATTATTGACATGACATTGAAATATTTACGTATCGAAAAAATTGTGTGTTTTATGGTTTAGTTTTTGTGTTTATGATAAACTTTTGTGTTGTTTGTCAACGTTTCTTGGTATAGCTGTCGTACATTAGATATTAGACATTATTCTATGTACTAATCATGGGCCCTTGTCAGCTAGCAAGATGCATAAACATCATAATACAATTATTATTATTAAACATGCATGCTAAGTTTTTAATGAAATAAAACAATACAAACAGAAATAAAGTAAAATATGAGCAATATAGGATATTAATATAGTATGAAGTGTTTATATATATATAGTGTAATGAGGTCATTATAACAAGTTTTATTGAGGTGTGATTCATTTTGATTTAAAGAAAATACCGAATTCAAAAGGAAATTCAAAACGGAAGGTCCTCTATAAAATGGCAAAATCAAAAGCTCAAACACATCAAACGAATGGAAAACAACTGTCATATTCCTGACTTGGCACAGGCATTTCCTTATGTAGAAAATGATGGATTAAATCTGGTTTTATAGCTAGCTAATTTAAAACCTCTCACTTGTAATTACAATCTTACACAAAAAACACCAACATATTCAGTAACAAATCAAATAAGCCCAAGTTCTTCTGTACATAGGTTTTTTCAAGAAAATTCCATTTGATTTAATTTCTATAACATAAAAGTCTCTTAACTACATCAGATTTAGTAGAATGAGGAAGTATTGATTATCATCTCCTTTAAATCATGCACAGTCAATGGGTTATCTTAAAATATACTGGACTTTCCTAAATACAAATGTAAAATTACGTAATACACGGATTGTCAAGTGTAAAACATATTTACATTTTATTTTAACTAAAGAATTGTTGAAATCTCTATATATTTTGAAATCTCTAAATATAATGGACTTTCCTCCTAAATACAAATGTAAAATTAAGTAATACACGGATTGTCAAGTGGAAAACATATTTACATTTTATTTTAACTAAAGAATTGTTGAAATCTCTATATATTTTGGGTGTGTCAGTATCTAGATGTACAAATATGTATTTACGGACATATAGTACCGTGGTATATGATACATGTAGTTCATATGAACATGTGTCTGCTATCTAAGTGTATGATGTATTTAGGGGTGTTTAATGCACTGATGTTCGGTTGTTTCGTTTTTAGGTATCTAAACTTTAGTTTCGTATCAAGGAATATTCCAGTAAGCGTTACATACCAGATATGCCGTAAATCAACTGCCTGTCTAGCAATAAAACTGCTGAGATTGATGTTCGAACGGTCGAGCGTCGCCAGAAAGGAAGCAAATGATTATATTCGTATGGTATTTCACTCTCTATCGAGAGGTCTAGCTTTGAGACGGTCTTGTAAGAATGAGTTTCCAAGACGTTCCCTTTTTAACATCTCGCCAGCATCTTTATTCCTTTTGTTAGTAAATTCATTTGCGTTTGTTTTTTTTTTCGTATAATCTTTACTCAAAAAGAATTAAATAGTGTTTGATTTACGTATAACTTTCAATTCAGTTCAAATATTTATTGTCACATAAACTCTAAGCAATAAGTTTGTGACAAATTTAATGAATGTAAATACACACACAAGACATTTCAAAAAGAAAACCATATGAAAACATATCCCATAAAACATATACAAGTAAAAAAGCAAAACAATCCATTTATATATATATATTTATATAAATAAATCAAGAGTCCCCTGTCCCCGGTTTTAATGCCTGTATAAAAAAGGACCCTAAGCTTTCTACTTCTTTTGAGGTTGATGGGCAAAGAAGATATTTAATTTTCTCATTTTCTTGCAAGGACATAAAATCTGGCATATATTTAACATGTTTAACTACATTTCCTAAAAAGTGATCTCTTAGTTTAGAATTTAATAAAATGAGCTTCATCCTCCAATGTATTACAGGATGGGCATATTCTTTTTTGTCGAGCCTGCGACTTTTGTCGCACAAGCGAGACATAGCGATCCTACATTCCGTCGTCGTCGTCGTCAGCGGCGTCCACAAATATTCTCTCTGTGGTTAAAGTTTTTGAAATTGTAATAACTTTCTTAAACTATCCTGGATTTCTACCAAACTTGGACAGAAGCTTGTTTATAACTATAAGATAGCATCCAGAAGTAAATTTTGTAAAAATAAAATCCTGTTTATCCGTATTTTACTTATAAATGGACTTAGTTTTTCTGCCAGGAAACATTACATTCACTCTGTGGTTAAAGTTTTTAAAAATTTCAATAACTTTTTTAAACTATCCTGGATTTGTACCAAACTGGGGCAGAAGCTTGTTTATGATCAAAAGCTAGTATCTAAAAGGAAATTTTCTTCAAGTTAACATTACATACAGTCTGCAGTTTTGTTATGTTACTTCTCTTTTCGAAAGAGGTCTTTCTTAAAGATAAGACATATTTAGAACTAACAAACATAAAGATAAGACATCTTTAGAACTAACAAACATAAAGATAAGACATATTTAGAACTAACAGACATAAAGATAAGACATCTTTAGAACTAACAAACATAAAGATAAGACATCTTTAGAACTAACAAACATAAAGATAAGACATGTTTAGAACTAATAGACATAAAGATAAGACATCTTTAGAACTAACAAACATAAAGATAAGACATGTTTAGAACTAACAAACATAAAGATAAGACATATTTAGAACTAACAGACATAAAGATAAGACATCTTTAGAACTAACAAACATAAAGATAAGACATCTTTAGAACTAACAGACAAAAAGATAAGACATATTTAGAACTAACAAACATAAAGATAAGACATCTTTAGAACTACAAACATAAAGATAAGACATCTTTAGAACTAACAAACATAAAGATAAGACATCTTTAGAACAAACAGACATAAAGATAAGACATCTTTAGAACTAACAAACATAAAGATAAGACATCTTTAGAACTAACAGACAAAAAGATAAGACATATTTAGAACTAACAAACATAAAGATAAGACATCTTTAGAACTACAAACATAAAGATAAGACATCTTTAGAACTAACAAACATAAAGATAAGACATCTTTAGAACAAACAGACATAAAGATAAGACATCTTTAGAACTAACAAACATAAAGATAAGACATCTTTAGAACTAACAGACAAAAAGATAAGACATATTTAGAACTAACAAACATAAAGATAAGACATCTTTAGAACTACAAACATAAAGATAAGACATCTTTAGAACTAACAAACATAAAGATAAGACATCTTTAGAACAAACAGACATAAAGATAAGACATCTTTAGAACTAACAGACATAAAGATTAACATCTTTAGAACTAACAGACATAAAGATAAGACATCTTTAGAACTAACAGACATAAAGATAAGACATCTTTAGAACTAACAAACATAAAGATAAGACATCTTTAGAACTAACAAACATAAAGATAAGACATCTTTAGAAATAACAAACATAAAGATAAGACATCTTTAGAAATAACAAACATAAAGATAAGACATATTTAGAAGTAACAAACATAAAGATAAGACATCTTTAGAAATAACAAACATAAAGATAAGACATCTTTAGAACTAACAAACAAACACATAAACATGTTACTTTTATTATTCTTCCCTTAGTTTATTTATTTTGTATTTACATTGTATCATAGGTCAGATTTATTTGTTCAGTGTATGTTCAATGGTGTTAATATGTCCTTTGATTGAGTTAAGCTATTTCAGTTAATATTTTATAGTGTGTCTTTCTATGTTGTGATGTTACACTATTGTTTCAGAAAAAGGGTGAAGGTTTGGTACCATTTAAACGTTTAAACCCGCTGCATTTGTTTGCACCTGTCCTAAATCAGGAATCTAATGTTCAGTAGTTGTCGTTTGTTGATGTGGTTCATAAGTGTTTCTCGTTTCTCGTTTTTTATATAGATTAAACCGTTGGTTTTCCCGTTTGAATAGTTTTACACTAGTAATTTTAGGGCCCTTTATAGCTTACTATTCGGTGTGAACCAAGGCTCCGTGTTGAAGACCGTACTGTGACCTATAATGGTTTACTTTTATAAATTTTGACTTGGATGGAGAGTTGTCTCATTGGCACTCATACCACATCTTCTTATATCTACATTAGAATGTAAATGAAGTAAAAATGACTTGCATGTCGATTCTAGAGACAATTGAAAATAATTGAAGTGATTAATTGTACTTGAAGAACCATCGCATACATTACAAGACACACAACTTATTCAGTTTATAAATGGTTCTGGAATGATTGATTGTAAGAGGGGATACAGTTGTCTCTATTGTGTTTATATACTTTGGTTCCTTTTATCCTTCTAATGTATTATTAAGATAATTTTATTTTCATCCTATTTTTTTGATAATGCAGGGTTAAATCGATTCAGCTGCAAACAAACTGTCTTGGATCATACAGAGAAATTTACTTAGATTTATTGTTCTGAAATGTTTAACTGCCTAAATGCTGACAACATAATTCGACTACATCATCAAATAAAGCCATGTTAATCTGAATGTTGGTCCCGACGGAGGACATTTTAGCGAAAAAATTCGGACGTTTTAGCGCCAAAGTATTACCCATTTTTGCGCAAGATTTTTAACCCATTTTAGCATAAAGTTAAATGATCAATGCCCATTTTAGCGCACGATTTTAAACCTCCTTTTAGCGAAAAGTGAAATTATGAAAGCCCATTTTAGAGACAGTAATAATGAATAATAAATTTCAATAGAATTAGTAGTTATAGTCAGTCCATAATCGAATATAAAATAATTCATATTGTCACTTGATTTGAGTAAAATGTATTTCATTTAATAAAATAAAAAAGATAAGAAAACATTAAATTTTAACGAATTAAGTACGAAATCTATTTGGTAGATAAAATTTAGCTTATTTTCTGATTGTATGTGCTGCACAAGGTTTTCTTTTATTTCAGAACAACCTCCACCTTATCCGAACAACCCACCACAGAATTACGGACAACCCTATCCGCCAGCTCAAGGATACGGTCAACCTGTAACACAACCACCACAAGGTTATGGCCAGCCACAGCATGGATACGGCCAGCCACAACAAGGATACGGTGAGCCACCAAAAGGATATGGCCCGCCCGCTCAAGGATATGGTCCCCCGCAAGGTTACGGTTCCCCGCAAGGTTACGGCATGCAACAACAACAACAACAGCAATCAACTGTTATAGTAAGTATTAGTCAGTGGTATATAGTTCCTTACTTTTTAATTGCACTTTCCGTCTTATTTCCTTGAGTAAAAAGAACAGTCCCTCCGAAATAACCTTCTCATATACTATAAGTAACCTAGTACGAGATAATGCGATTCGTTCAAAGATGTTGATTAACTCAATTAATTTGCGAACTTAAGACGGCCACCTTTAGTTTTTAACATATACGTTATTGGTCTCTGGTGGAGAGTTGTCTCATTTGCAATCCACATCTACATCTACATTATACGACAATCCATCAGCACATTGATGATTATACGTCGGCGCATCGCAAACAGACACTTATTAAAAAATAACAACTTTATGAGTGCAATAATCAAAAATAATTTTGTGCAAAAATTAAAAAAAAAACAAAAAAAAACACATTTATATATTTACAAACAGGGTAGATGTCTAAATGTACTGACTTTGGGTCAGTATTTTAAACTGACCCAAAGAGTTAACGCTGATGATGTATTGTGGAAGTAAATTCAACAGTACAACTGTACTTAAAGTAATCTGTTCTGGTGCTGAGTGTTTGATATTGTAGTTTTTTATTGGCTGTGGTGAAAGGTAAAGGTTTGGATCTACTGCTATAAGTTTGTGTGTAATTTTGTACATCATTGTTACACGATTGATGTTTCAGCGAGTTTCAAGTCACTTCCATTTAAGATGCTCAATCATGGAAGTGACACTACTGGTGTTATGGTACATATTGGTGACGCAGCGTGATGCCCTTCTTTGTACTTTTTCAATGTTTTTGTTTTTGGGTGTTAGGAGACCAAACTGAAGAGCAGTATTCTAGGTTTGATCGGTACATAGATTTGTAAGCCAAACTTTTTGTTTCTTCCTGATTTATTTTAAGTTTCTTTTTAAAAAGCCCAAGTTCTTATTTGCTTTAGCAGTGATGTTGTTAATATGGGTATCCCATGACATGTTGTTAGATAAGGTGATACAAAGATGTTTTGCTGTGCTGACGGATTCTTAAATGTGGCCTTTTAGTACATAATCATGTTGTATGGTGACTGTGATCTTGTTACACTGAGGGAGTTGCATTTTTCTGGGTGGAATTGCATACCCCAAGTTTGTTCCCATTTGGCTAGGCAGTTTAGTCATTTTGTAGGTACAATCTTGCTGATTTTTAATTGTTCTGTATAAACTACAGTCATCTGCGTACAAGCGTGTTTTTTATGTGACTGTTGCAGGGAGGGAGGTCATTTATGAAAATCAGGAAAAGTAGTGGACCCAAGACTGTGTCTTGAGGCACGCCACCGACCACAGGTATTTTACCAGATACTTCCCCATCAGGGACAACCTGTTGCGTTCTATTATTAAGAAAGGCTTATATTTCACCTTATGACATAATCATCCATCTTCCTTATTAATGTTTTGTGAGGTACCTTGTCAAATGCCTTGGAGAAGTCTAATATAACAAGATACGTTTATATGCCATTGAAGGTTACTAAGTAATTCACGACTTGGTGTAAGAAGTTGTGTTTCACAGCTGCGTTTTGCTCTGAAACCATGCTGATTGTCTGCTAGAATGGTATGTGTGTCCAGATGATTTAGGATGTTACTTACTACAATGAGTTGTAAGAGTTTGCAGCTTATACAGGTTAATGAGACAACCTGTAATTTCTGGCTATTTTTTTTTTAGAAATAGAAATTACATTTGCCTGTCGCTAGTCTGATGGTACATCCCTTTTCAAAAAAGATGTGTTAAAAATGAAAGTGAGATGTGTTGCAAATTCTGATGCAAATTGTTTTATTATGCGTGCTGGTATTTCATCTGGACCTGGAGCTTTTATAGATGAATCTAGATTTTTTAGGAGTTTTTCTGTATCATTTGATGTTACATGTATTTCTGACATAGATGGATAGTTGTCTGAAAGAGTTGGTATTTGTTCTTTATCATTTGCTCAGGTGTAAAAACCAGTCTGTTATAAATTGTAGTTGTGTTTTGTGATATACCAATCATACTAATAATGCCACTTCTTCTTATTTTTATATTAAGATAATAATTGTCATATGCATAGCTCTAATCCATGTTAGGCTCTTCTGTTTTGATCTTTTTCTGTTGATCCATGTTTCAAACTTTTTCCAACATTTTGTATTTAATTTTTTTTGTCTCATGGGATACATAGTATAATTTGGAGTTTAGTATAACGTCCATTATCACTGAACTAGTATACATATTTGTTTAGGGGCCAGCTGAAGGACGCCTCCGGGTGCGGGAGTTTCTCGCTGCATTGAAGACCCATTGGTGGCCTTCGGCTGTTGTCTGCTCTATGGTCGAGTTGTTGTCTCTTTGACACATTCCCCATTTCCATTCTCAATTTTATGATTGTTTATCACAAATTAACTGTCGCGTGTTTGATCATATAAATTCTTTGATATGTACACATCGTTGGCTTTCAAATTTTTGGTTTGGAACGTTTTGTATAAATGCGTGACACGATGAATATTAACTGTTATAAGAATTCATAATATGAACTGCGTTTAGTTTAATTGTGAAAGAACTGTGAAAATGTTAAGCTGAGATACTTTAATTTTAATCTAATCTATATATATTGTATTCCAATTTTTTTGTACGTGAAGTATTATTTTGAGGCCCCGAGAATGTCGAGAAGACCGCGAGATCGGCTACGTCTCGAATTAACTTTGTATATCCTAAGTCGATGTCATACATGTATCGGCGACGTCGCCTTAGCTTTGGTTAGTAACAAGTAAAACGTCAAACTGAATAGCAGTTGTTTGTTATGTCTGAGTAACATAATAAGAAAACGTCCCCAAATGTAGAGGTAACGGAATAAAAACCCTGTATCACACGGGAGACAGGTAAATCATATGCCACACAGGCTCAATAGTCAAAACACCTGTCATGAAGAGATAGCAAAATACAACACTGTCATACAGAGAAGACAGTTAAAACCCTGCCATACATGGTCAATAGTCAAAACACCTGTCATGAAGAGATAGCAAAATACAACACTGTCATACAGAGAAGACAGATAAAACCTTGCCATACATGGTCAATAGTCAAAACACCTGTCATGAAGAGATAGCAAAATACAACACTGTCATACAGAGAAGACAGATAAAACCCTGCCATACATGATCAATAGTCAAAACACCTGTCATGTAGAGATAACAGAATAAAACTGTCATACATATTTGTTTTGGGGGAAAAGCATTTAATTGTCGGGGCCTTATCGTACAACTATTATACCTCTTACTTTGTAGTTGAATATGAGAGTTATGTGATGAAAATGAAATTAAATGATAATATAATGTAGTTTTGTCATGTATTCTTCAGGTTACAAACCAGCCACAAGCAATGGTCGTTCATGTAAGACCAACCAATTATTTGATTCCCGCCATTTTTGCATGTTTATGCTTTTGGCCCATTGGAATATGTGCACTTATAGCGGCAAACGATGTAAGTATTTAATACAATATTCATGGTAAGGGGACGACCATTTGATTTTCAGGTTGGAGGAGGAGGATTTTGAAAATATTCTGGCCTGATAAGAGTTCAAAATAAATGATTTTGCCTAAGACGGGATGACGATGAATAATCGCAACACAAAATGCAGAAATTAAATGTGAACACAAAAGTAGGAAAAAATAAACATGCGTAGAAACAAGTCAACAAGTCTTTTAACGGTGATGCTGATTTTTTATAATCGGATGTACGTTAATGAGACAATTCGGACAGAAGACTTTCGAATTCGTGCACTTTCCCGTAATTTTCTATGTCACAATAATTATCTTACAACGTCACACGATTGTTCAAAGAATGTCGTTTACGCCGATTAACCGCGGGTCAACCGGTGAAACTCATTCATAAAACACTACTCGAGATTGGTGGATAAGCAGATGTTTTTCCATTTGAATCAGCGGAATAAGAAAGGTACGCGGAAATACTTTCAAAATAAATCCGTTTAGAAAAAGCAATTAAAAAGACCTTTATGGGACATCTGTGAAACTGATGATCACGGATATGTTCCAATTGTAGTAACCAAAGCCCCGTCGTCTTTTCTAGATTGTGACAACACCAACTCAGACTTATCACCGAATTTGTAATTAGAATGATCGACGATAAGTCTAATTAGGGCTTTGGTTACGACACATTGGATGCCTTATGTGGAGTAGGATATAATACCCAACCGAAACGCATGAGACCTCCCTCGCTTTTTTATAGGGGTCGTGTTGCTATGTCTTTATTTTCCTTTGAAGTTTTGTGGACTTGTTTGTCATTTCGTCGTTTTTCGGGGTTTTTGTTCGTGGCGTTGTCAGTTTCGTCCCTTTGGTATCTTACGACTCCTTTTAACCACTATAAAACGGGAATTGCAAACGGATAAAAAAATGTTGAACAAGACAGTTTAGTTAAAGGATTTAGTCATGTGAAGCTAAAAAAATCTGGAACTCAAAATTGATACTATAAATCAGAAGATCATTAGTTAAGGAATAAAATAAGCTAGAAATATTGATAGGTTATGAAAGTCCTTTTCGAGATATTTGATTTAAAAAAAATGGCGGGAAAAGACTGACTCGGACTTTTACCTTATATTTAGCATTGACATTATTTGAGTTTCATATCGCAAGAAAAGAAATCTAGAATCTGTTTAAATTTCGGTAAATGACCTTTTCTGAGCTATTGAAGTCTTATATGAAAAGACAAATGGGTGATATGGGGCAAAATATTTTACCCTGTATTGTAGGAAAAAGTCCAAGGAGTCAGAACACTAGATAAAAATTCCTAAACCTGACACGACTACATCTTTAATACAAAAATGCTAACCTTTATCGTATATGTTATTTTCGTTGACTAAATCTATGCTAACCTTTATCGTATATGTTATTTTCGATGACTAAATCTATGCTAACTTTATCGTATATGTTACTTTCGTTGACTAAATCTTTGCTAACCTTTATCGTATATGTTATTTTCGTTGACTGAATCTATGCTAACCTTTATCGTATATGTTACTTTCGTTGACTAAATCTATGCTAACCTTTATCGTATATGTTACTTTCGTTGACTAAATCTTTGCTAACCTTTATCGTAAATGTTATTTTCGTTGACTAAATCTATGCTAACTTTATCGTATATGTTACTTTCGTTGACTAAATCTATGCTAAACTTTATCGTATATGTTATTTTCGTTTACTAAATCTATGATGACCTTTATCGTATATGTTACTTTCGTTGTAGGCAAACAGAGCAGCGAACGACGGCGATTATGCCTTCGCAGAATCAAAAGCTAGAAATGCCAGAAATTTTGTCATTGCTGCGTTTGTTACGGGAATTATTGTTTACGTCATAGTTATTGTAGTACGAGTGGTTGCGTATTCGTCTATCTACAGCTACTGATGACGTAATATTCGACTTTCACGTTGAACTTCATTAACAAAAGTTCTAAAGTGCCTCGTGACATTTTGTTGAAAGTAGATATACATTCACAATAAACATGCCATTACAGTTATCTGGTACACATTTCTTGAATTATTCTAATTATAGTTGCAGATACCAGTACTAAATCGTTTATTATAATCTGGTCTTCCAAGACAATTTTCTTTAATTTTCCTTAAATTAAAAAAAGGTTCTTTTTGGGGTATAGGCATCAGAATCTGTTCAAATGTGGTATTTAATAGTTTATACTGTTTAACTGCATACATAAATACACTTCGTTTAAAAATTCCACTAAAAGTTAATTATCTAGTAATATGTACAATGTAAGTATTTGTGGTTGTTAATTTTTGCCTCTTGTTCCGACATTTGAATTGAACAAGTTTATGTTGTCCATCAATATTTAAAGATGTCCCCTTTTTGTCAGGTTTTGTTTGAATTTCTTTACACCTGTTCTTTTGAAAAAGTTTATACATTATACAAAACATGTATATATTATTAAAGGTGATCTGTGATACTTGCTACTTGTTTATTATCAATTTAATTCAATATATATAGATTTTTAATTTTACTCGACAAAATTATATATTTACTGCAGATATAAATGGTACCACATTTCCTTATTTTTATAGTGTTATGCATGTTATTCAGATTGTTTTAGGTATTTTTGAAAGGTGATTATTTGAAGACCCAAAAATAATTATCATTGGTTTTGCTTCTATTCATTTAATATTTTTTAGGAATGTTTAAGACTTTACTTTTAAACTTTTATTTAACCTTTAAGTCCTAGATTCAAGTGAGCTGTGTGATAAGGTTTTGTTTATTTTCATAGATTTTATTTGTTTTCGTATCCATAAAGCAATGTGACGTTACAAAATCATTTAGGACTATTAAGGAACGACAACGCTTCCACAAATTTGAGACAACCCATGATTGCATAAAAGACAAAATGATACTAATTTCATAATATAATATAATAGCTTCTAATCGGGTGAAAGGAAAGGATTCAGTCCGAAGACTGGATCGTTGAACTTGTAGTATGGAAAAATATATTTTTCGTTTATGTATAATTTCAAAATTTGTTTTTGGAAATGTACTGGTACTGTCTAGGGTAAATTTTGCAAGCGGGGCTGCCTTCGTCTCAAATGGAAGTCTATACATTGTCATTGTTTCACCAAGACTCTATAAAGAGTTATGAATATTTTTATAATATAACTTTTAAAACAATGTTGATATTGTTACTGTCTCTTCAACATTTTTATATAAATAAAAGTATTAACAACAGCCGTCTCCTTTATTCCTTTTTTTTTTAAATTAAAATTAATGACTTCTACATTGTAGTGCGTGTTGTTATTCACCTCGTTGGAACCAAATGCATTCTGGGTAATATTTTTGAAATGCTAATTCAAAACGTGTTGATTGATCAAGATACCAGGCTAACAATTACAGCATGCCATATGCGCACTTCATTGGGCTTAGGTAAAAACTATCAGAAGGTAAAAAATCAATAACTGTCACGGATAGACGAGTGCTGGCTTAGAAGGAGTCTATACTTATATAAAATAATGACTAATACGTTGTCATACAATAATGTTGCTTAATACCATACTGCTCACTCTAGTCCGGCAGATCGGTGAAAAAAGTGAGGGTTTGATGATAAAAGCACCAAATTTAGCATGGTAGAGGTTCTGGGTGTTTCAAACAATATTAATTATGGGCCCACCTTGAAATTTCAATATGACGGCTTTTTTCAAGATGGCCGCCATAAAATATCAAAATCAATATATCTTTATAAGGTCAAAATCAATGCCAAATTTGGCATGATTGTAGTGCGCAGTATTTCGAAAAATGTAAGCCATGAACCAATCTTGAAATTTCAATATAGCTGCTTTTTACATGATGGCCGTCTCAAAATATCAAAATCAACAAATTTCACTTAATAATGATATTCAAATCCAAATTTTGAACGTAAGATGCTTCGAACAATATAACTACTGTTAACCAGCAATTTGTGATCGCGACTTTAGCGAGTAGAAGCATTACCACGAGTATATAAAACTTTGATCTTCCCGAGGTTTGTACAAAAACATAACATAAAATGAAAATATCGCGAAAAAAATTCCGTGAAATCATCTAGATCAAGCTAATCGCAAATATTCAATTAGTTGAAATAGTTCTTGCCAATTTGTTATCATTCAATATGTTTCTAGTTCAATTATAAAACATATGAAATGAAAAAAAGTATACAAACCGCCATCTTCACTGTTAAAACCAGCAATAACCTTTTCTTGATTAATTCAATACGACCGCCCGTTTGATGTCGCGTCGTCCAAATGCACATCGCAGTCTCTATTTGTGTACTCTATGTCTGCAAAAAGTATTGCTTATATCAGCTCACATATTTAATTGTTCATTTGTTACATTATTAGAGCCGAACATATTTTTGAGTATTTTTGAACTGTGAATTAGATGCTAGAGCTGTTTGTGTATTTTTAAAAAAAAATATTACATTCATCATATGTGATATTATTATCTCTTTTACTTTTTATAGCGTGCGTTTGACTTTAATATTTATTGACTCGGATTGTCAGTTTATCTACCGAAGGTCGGTGGATCCCTCCGAGCACTCCGGCTTCTTCACAACCAATAAAAACTTACCGTCACAAAATAGCCAAAAGTGCAGAAAGTGGCGTTAAGCACCAATCCATCAATCAGTCAAGGAGACATTTGATCATGTTGATGATCTGTGTGCTTCATAAAAAAATCACATTGCTATAATTTAAGAATTTAATGTTTTTGTTATTTAATTTGGGTGTTTAATAGCATTGGCCATAGCTCATTTACAACAACAAAAAATGGCGGTTCATTTTTAACGGTTTTACATGTTCTAGAACTCGATTGAATTAAAAAACATTCAATTCCTATTAATACACTAAAAAATATTACACTTTTATCGCATGCATATCATACGTCATACTTTTCTACAACAATGTCATGTTTTTATATACTGTACTTACTATTGTCCTCACAACAGCGAACGTTTTCACCAAATCCTTCTAAATATTCCCATCCACTTACATAGCCATATCCAGGACATTTGAAAGAGTTTTTCAAATTATAAACTACCGAAATAAAACTTAGATAAATTTATTAAGTTGATACAGAAAAAAATACGGCATTTAAAGATTGATTGGACAAATGCTCATTCAAAAGAGGAAATGGGTTCGGTCCATAAAACTGATTTGTTTCCATTATTTGTTTGTTCCCAGAACACCAGTGGTAATTAATGTTACTTATTGATTATCACTATCAAGTGTCATGTCACTTTAATTTTATTGGTTATCTTGTAAGACCATTTGCCCTTCATTTCACGAAAAATTGCATTGTTAATCCAGTAGCCAATTTAAATGCACATATTGTAAACCATAAAGAAATGCAACCCAAACGATGACTGGGAAATAGAAATGTGGTAACGTTTTGTATTCGTTGGACCAGAACTAAAACTATTACTAAATTTGGGTGTTCGTTTAGAGAGAATGCAACGTTCTCTGCACATAAAGACCGTTGCAACAATCATCTAGGGGTCCGTAGATGTCCTTTTGCAGGCCTATATTTCTGTTTTTAACTAATTACCCACTTTTGATAGTGGCAGTCTTAATATTCCGCCCTCCATTCCAATAGACCCTTGAACAGGTCCTGTATTATGTATGCATTGTAAATTGGTTAACGTCATGTGACATATCTTCCCGTGGACTTACCTTGTGAACTAGCATGTTTAAAATCAGGCTCAGCGTATCGGTCTAATACAAAGCGTGGTTCATATTCATTTTGCATTAACATTTTCTCGTCCTGCCTGATTATGCATGTAATAAGAATCATAGATAGCAAGATTATAGACTTCGTATATACTATGTAAAAGAGGGGCGAAAGATACCAGAGGGACATTCAAACTCATAAATCGAAAATAGACTCACAACGCCATGGCTAAAAAAGAAGAAGACAAACAAAAGTACACAAAACACAACATAGAAAATTACAGACTAAGCAACACGAACCCCACAAAAAACTGGGGATCATCTCATGTGCTCCGGAAAGGTAAGCAGATCCTGCTCCACATGTTGCATGTAAATAACAAAATCGCTAGTTTGATTTTCACTTCTATGAAACTTCAACTCTCTTTTTTTTTTGTAACGCTTATATTTGTGAGGACATATCGTTTAAGTACCTTTAATATACTTACAATAAGTTTTGCACACTACACTTTTTCCTGGACCAGGATAGCTTATCAAGGGAATCTCCGTCGCAACAATACTGCCTATATGTTATTGGTCTCGATGTCTTTTCATTATTATGGTAACCAAGGACAGTGGAAGCAATAACAATTAATATCGAACCTATAGGTTTTAAAACAAAAACAAAATTATTTTCTTTCATCAATGATTAAAATAAAGCATGGACAAAACACTTTACAGTTTTTGATATTTTTAAGTCGCAGTTAAAAGTTAATTGCTCGAAATTATATCATGGAAATAACTACATTTCAGCAAAATAATCAACAATATAAATGTCAACTATTTCTGGCTTGTAATATTTTTAAGACTCGAAAATGTATGCAACATATTCAGTATTCATATCAAGATGCTTACTTTTCTTATTGACAAAATATTTTTGTTTGTGTTTTTTCAGCAGGGAATAGGCATTCCTATTTAAACCAAATGTGCTCTTGTTTTCTATTAGTTTATTTATGTTAGGTAGATTTTATACAGCATCGTCTAATGAAGAATGAAAAGAATGAAGAGAAGATTGTATAATCTCCTCCTAGTATATAAGATATCATCTGAGTAAATAATAAGAGAGATATTAATGATGAAAAGAACATTATTCTGTGTAGTTACAATCCAGCAAGATTTGCATATGGAGTATGTTTCTCACATTTGATATGATATCCTTAAGCATGTTCTACATGTTCTATCACCATTTCCTTCATAGAGTGTCGAAGCTTACAAGTAAGCGATTGATCAAAGTGGTGAATTTGGATTCATCAAGTAACATATCTTTGGAATGGTAGAGACGAACGATTTCCAAAAATGGACACCCAAACGTTGAAGACCGTATAGTGACTTATAGTTGTTAATGTCTGTGTCATTTGGTCACTTGTGAAGAGTTGTCTCATTGGCAATCATTCCACATCCTCTTTTTTATACCCAAACGTATGAGTCGAAAACAAATTGACGAAGACATGTCATGGCAAAAAAAGAAAAACTACCAAAAGAAAATGAACAGTATACAAAACACAGCATAGAAAACTAAAACCGAGCAACCGGAATCCAACCAATAACCGGGGTGATCTCAGGTGCTCCGGAATGTTAAACAGATCCTGCTTCAGATTGGAACTCGTCGTTTTACTCCTATGAAATACGTTAAGTTATACCAAGTGATTAGGCATCACACAATAGCGAATTGGTTATTGACTATAGAATATAATATGAAAAACAGTCTACAAAGAAAGGGCAAACGAAATATCAATTATAATGAGCATAAAGAAATTTTACAAATAATGATTAATGTTGACATTAATCTGTTAATAAAATGAATATAAGTGCTTTCGATTTTGATATATTCATTTGATGTTCTATGCACGTAGAAGAAGTCTATTAAAACATTGAATTGATATTCATTGGATTTTCATGAATGCAAACGTTTCCTGAAGTATAAAATTTCTCTCATATAAAAATTATAACAAGAACAAAAACCTAAACACTGAAGTGGACTCATCTTTAAAATAAACTGGATAAAACTGAAGAAGACGTACCTTAGCCATAAATCGAAATTAGATTTGAACTTACAGTGAGATGATAATGTGTGCTCTTAATCGAAGTCATCGCTGTGAACTTCAGATGAAGTACAAAAAAATAAAAGCAATTTTCCCTGAATTCGTTTTTGTCTGATGCGCAAAGTGATTTAGTTTTATGATTTGTTTTTCTTATTTCCCTTACCTTTGTAACTCTTAAAAGCCATTGCAAACTTTAAAATTGTCTTAGTCGAGGTTAACTCAATATTCCTTCCTTGAGTAACAGAGTTGTAGTTGAAGTAATAATATACTAATGAAATCACCTTGCTTTATATACTTGTTCAATTTAAGACGTAAAAGCCCGTGAGTAATGTAACAAAAAAAAAAAAAAACAAGAGGCGATGTTATATTTACTGAAAGCAATTCAATATTTCACTTGATCCACCAGAAAGCAATAGAATGCGTCGGTGACCTTACCATGCATTTTACAAAT